TCACCTGTATGAGGATATTCAAAGTGCTCAATTGTAATTAATGCTTGGTGCATTGTAAAATTTTCTGTAAGCCAGTGGGAAGTTATACCAATGAATGGAGTATGATTATGCGTCCACAGATCTGTTGTAATACACACTGATATCATAGTTTCATTTATTAAGTTTTCCAAATTTGATCGCGTATATATTACTGACTCTGCAATTTTGTTTTTAATAGTATTTGTACAAGAAACTTCAAATCGAGGACTAACTTCATAACAAAAATCTCTAAATCGATCATGGTTAATACAGTCTAAAGGCATCATTGATTCAACTAACCAGGATACTAAATGATAAGTAGCACGAATTTGCTTTTTTTCAGCAAATGGTTGTGTATTTTCTAACATAGAATTAATTGTTTGTGGTTTTTTAGTGCCTTCAACTGGAGATATTACAGGTGCATCAAGTTTTTGGTCTTTATAAATTCTATGTACTGTACGCAAATGTGAAGCGATATTGGTAACTGCAGTACGGGGCTTAAATTCAGTATTGCATTTTTCTAAAATACCATTACCCTTATCTACTTCAACATCACAGTATTTAAACTTCGTAATTTTATCTTTTCTTGTGTATTTCCATACCCAGCTTTTAACAGTTTTATTTTTTCTATAAATAGGCACTACTTTTTTTCTCTTTGCAGGTATTCGTGAAGAAGTAGTAACTGCAGAGGATGAGGACACATTCGTTGAATTTTTTAAGATTATATTATCATCATTAAACTCATCTGAGTTATGATCATATAACTCTTCTAGGCTAGAATTATTATCTGACTCCTCTGGACTGGAATCTTCATTCGTTGTAGCACTTTTATACGATACAAAACTGTCAAGTGAAGTTTGTTCTGCCATCGAAGAAATTATGATTAAGAGGTTTGAACAGAGTTAACTATAACTGATAAAAATATTGCAACTACAGTATATTGCTACAAATATAGCATAAAAGAAGAAAAAATTTCTATTTGAGATATAATTTTGATGAGCGAAGTATGTGAAAAATATATTAGCAAAGGCTTTTGGAATTATTACTACTCAACAAGGCATTCATTAATTTATATTCACTCTTTTTATAGTGGTTTAAATCTATTTTTTATTAAAAGAGAGATTTTATTGCCTCTTATCTCGTCTAATCTAATTCTTAAACAATAGGCTAATTCTTCAATACATTGAGGCTATTGAAACACAATAATCTCTACATCAATATCCACATACTCACACTACGATGTTATCAAAATAGCATAGAACAATTTGGGCAAGTAATAGTTTCTTTTTTAGGGGAGAGCGAAAAAGATAAGTACAGTAGTTTATAGATAATTTCATACATCTGTACATTTACAAATTACTACTTAATCGATTTTAGTAATTCTTACTCTTCTCATCTTTAATTATTCTTAAATTTCAATAGGTTAGTTTTCTATTTTCTTTTTTTATTTTCTACCCCTACTAATAACTCCTTTTTTCACCTTTTTTCCAAACACAATCCCTTCTATGCATTATTCTATTATTCTATTCTGAAACCTGGGCTTTTCATTCTGACTATTCCCAATTTGACTACATGCATGGGTTATTTAACTTTTTGTTTGTTGAATCGATTATGCATGTTTCATTCAGTTTGATTGCATGTATCGATCGGGTATGGGCATGATATTTAATTATACTTCTTTTCAAGTTATAGTTTTATGGGTAACGTTTATTTTTACCTGTGACACTATCAATAAAAAATGTTTTTTTTTAATCTCACGAATCTTTTTTTTTAATCTCACGAATCTTTTTTTTTAATCTCACGAATCTTTTTTTTTTAATCTTATGAATCTTTTTTTTTTTTTAATCTCACGAATCTTTCTTTTTAATCTTACGAATCTTTTTTTTTTAAACTCACAAATCTTTTTTTTTTTAATCTCACGAATCTTTTTTTTAATCTCACGAATCTTTTTTTTAATCTCACGAATCTTTTTTTTAATCTCACGAATCTTTTTTTTTATTTTTTATTTTTTATTTTTTTTACTTTATTCCTTAATCTTTATATATTTACACAACATTTCTTCTTGCTACTTTATTTTCGAGTATAGCATTAATTATATATGTTTTTAGGTTAGTAATTTTAGATTACATCAATGATCATATTATTTAATATTATAAGTTAAAGTTCGAAAAATTCAGCACATTTTAGAGAAAACATTCTTGACTATATAAATTCACATGCTAATACATTAAAATTCTAAACATATACAAATTTCTGGCACTATATTTTCTGATCTAAGATATCTAAAAAATGATAAGTATTTTCTATATTTTCTTTAATTTTGTACTCAGGTTAATTTATTCATTCGGACCTTATTGATCATAAAATTTATTCAGAACACTAACTATATAAACTAATTTAGATAATAATATTGATAATTGCATAATTTAGCAAGAAAATTCATTTTAAGTTTGCTTACAGTCATTCTCATAAATTTGCTTTGATTTTTAAAATTTTCAGGACCTGCTCTAGTCGATTTTTTAATTTTTACTAATCAGAATTCTAAAATTCTTCGATTCTTCATGCTTAATAGTGGGCTGAGCTATAAAATCATTGAAAAATGTACTTTAAGCTATTTAAAAAAAAGTTTTAAATTATGATTTTTCTGATTGAAATTTACTATTACTGTATTAGTGAATAGGCTATTTATAGTAGATATTAATTATTCTTTGATTTCACTTTGATTTCAATATATCTAAATAAAGCTACATATTATAAGCGAGACTTTTATACGCACTAGTCTCCAGATAGTATAATGTGAATATTCATAGTCGGCTTTATACATAACAATAGAGATGGTTTAAGCTATTAATAATTTAAATCTCATTTTTTTAATTGGTTTTTATACTTAAATGATTCTAAAGTATCTAAAAATGAATGATTATTTAAATTATACACTTATGCATTTATTATTTATGCTTTAATGCGTAATTTTGCACTATTGCTATAAAATTATTACAGCTGTTATCATTATTTCTGGGACACCTGATAAAAAATTAACCGAATGGTTATTCTGCCGATTCGATAAGATATTGATTTCACTATTTTTATATTACACAGAATATTTGTTCTACACGTATTCCACATTATTAAATTTTTGTTTGAATACTTGTTCAACTGTTTGGTGTGTTTAGTTTGTGCGAAAATTTATGGAAAACAGTTCTTGTTAACTAAAGTAATTAATCTTAACAAGAAATAAAAAGGCACCGGATATAAATTTATGTATATGTAGCTATATGTAAAATACTTTTTATGTATATATCCAAGTCAGTGTATAGCTTTTTAAATTGTCATAAGACTAATTTTATGTTACATACAAAAACTAGTCAGGTTTTTCTTTCATTAAAGTTTTACGATATTTATATCGTTCATGTTTAGTAAACATGGTTTTTCTAAAAGTGGCGGAATTTTTTCATATATCCATATCCTTGAAAGTGTTTGAGAACTCGACTTGTAAAAGATCTGCTAATATCTAAGTGTTTCACAATTGATAATCTTTTTAAATTTTTTCGACTATTTGCCTGCGAATATGCTTCGAAAGTATCTTATTTAATCGGAAATGTCTAAAGTTATTTTGATATTGCTGTATTGGTGGTCTGGTCGTCACTGCTGCACTGTAAATAATAAACATTACACTGATCATGCTGACTTATCGACTTGGCAGAATAATAATTCAGTTATTTTTATCAGGTGTCCCAGGAATAATGATAACAGCTGTAATGCTATATTTGGAGTCGACTAAGCCGGTTTTTTAAAAAATCGGCTGACTTAGCCGGCTAAATCGACTAAGTCGACTAACATTAAATCGACTAATATCACTAGATAGCTATACTATCAAGATTTAGGTAGGAAAAGTCTTAAAGAAAGGCTTAAGCTTTCTGATGAAGCCTCTAGTTTTGTATATTTTTTTACAGACTAGTGCGACAGATCATACATAATAATGTTTTTTGTTAAGCATATCAAGTGATGTCAGACTTAGAGATTAAGAAATTAATATTGTAACTTTGTTATAATAAAAACTTAAAAAAGCTCTAGGCGAAACCGCCCAAGTTTAAAAAAAATAAAAAATAAAAAAAATAGATGCATTTATAAAGATAATATATTTATATAGAAGATGCTTATATAGAAGTATAACTGTAATTAATTTGTTTTTTAATATTTTTAATACATTTAAAATAAAGTTTATACGGAATAGAGTGAAACCATTCTGGTTCAGTTCTTGACAAAGCTGACAAAGTCACCTGACACATGTGTGGGTCAGTGCGACAAGTTACATCTGGGCACAGCATATGTAGCCGGATGATGCCGGGCTTGCAATTGCAAAAGACATTTACTAGAAATAGGTTTTATTTTAGAATAGATTTCACCATGTAAATATTTGTATTTAAGTACTGACAAGGCTGTCAAAGAATAAAAAAAAAAAATAAAATAAAATAAAGTTTAATTAATTTTTATATATAAAAAATTTATCAGGAAAAACTCTTACCGCTGATTCTCTGAACCAAAATTCTGCAGAAGAAAAACTAGCTACAACTCAAAATCTAAAGGAAAAACATTAAAAACAAGAATAGAAAAAAGGTCAAAAAGAAAAAACTACACATAGCCTAGTTGGGAAAACCTTCACTTAGACTCAATATACAAAATAAGCAATACAAAACCAAAGTTTTTATCAAAGATAAACAAAAAGTAAAAACTTGCCCTAGACCCTGTAGTATAAATCTCTGTATAAATAAACAAATACATTGCAAAAGATGCATTATAGCTAAACAAAACCATAATACAAAAACTCTATATATTGAAATAACAATCTTGTGTCAAGTAAATACATATATACAAATTAGTTAAAGAAATGATAGATTCTAGAAATATAGTCTCAAGTTGTACAGAACAGATAATCTAGAAAACATTAAGGCACAGACTCTGAGCAAAATCACATCACACAAGATAATTAGCAAACTTCAACCAATATAGACTGAGAGAAAAATTCAAGAAATACAAGAATATCTTTAAAATATCAAACGAAGATATTAAAAACTATATAGGTGAACACAAACTAAAAACTCTAAGAAAAGATAAAGAAATTGCAAATATAGCCAGCACAGAACCTGAGCTAATATGTATAGTTAGGTGTATGCTAAAGCTGTATAACTAGCTCAAGCATCAAAAAATAAGAGAAAGCAAGAGAGATATAGTGACAGAAATAGCTGAGACCAGAATTATAAAAGGACTACTAATAGAAAAAGAAAGTGAACAAGAAGATTTTGGAATCATAGAACTGCAGAAGAAGATTCAAAACTCCAAGCTACCTCACCAAGACACAAAACCAAAGAAAGTATTTAAAGCTGCAAAAAAAGATCCTCAAAATGAAGTTACTTTAATAGAAGAGGGGAGCTGTTTCAAAACAATAGAAGAAAAAATTGATGAAATCACACCAGTAGATGATGAAATAGCTAAGGAAGAGAAAAATGCAGAAGAGACCCTTCAACTAAATAAAACCAAAGAATATTTCAAAGGTAAAAAAACTGAAATAAATAGCAAGATACTAGAGAATCCAAAGATAACTCCCAAACCCAAAAGAATGGAAAAAGAAAAAATGCTAATTACACTATGGAATATTCCGAATAATACAAGAGCAACACAAATAAGAAGATGCTTAAGCTACTATGGAAAAGTAGCTATTAGAAGCTTTATAACTAATAGAAAATCTAAAGCCAAATTTGTTAAAGTTAAAACCAAAGATGACTCAAAAACACTAGCCTTAAAAGAAGCTTAGCAATTCATTTTGAGGCTAACAAATTGGTAAAAGCAACACAAGGAATTTTTGACAAAC